TGAATGATGATTACTGTTCGCCCCTGTTCCTTGCGCCTCTTCGTCCGTCCGACTTCAGAAGCATCCAGCGACAAAAAAAAAAGATGCCGGAGGCGCCGCCACGACGCCATTGGGGACGACATCGTGACTGTGCTCAGGACTTCTCAATGCTGTAGGATGGTAGTTACTCGTGTTCGGTTTTCGCTAAACGTGCTGACTGACAGTGTGTATGTGTCCGTGTGACCCACTCGTTCGGTTTTATTAGTTGAACTACCGTATAGCAGGAATTCACCCTGCGGCATAGTGAATAGTTTGAAATATATTTCTGTGACAAAGAATTCGGCTGTGGCTACTTGATCTGATCGCTTTTGTCTCCAGCTTCTTGCACCCGGGTGCGAAGAAATGTTCTTTCTTATTACCGTAAGTTACTGCATGCATGTAAAACTTGATGTCCCCGATCGAAAAGGCCATCAGGTTTTCCTGATGGACCATCAGAGTTTCTTGATGGTCCATCAGACTTTTCTGATGGTCCATCAGGTTTCCTGATGGACCATCAGCCCATTCCTGACGGACCATCTGACTTTCCTGATGGACAATTAGACTTCTTTGATGGCCCATCAGGCTTCCTGATGGACCATCAAGAAGGTCTGATGGACCATGAAGAAAGTCTGATGGACCATCAGCCCATTCTTGACGCACCATCCGACTGTCCTGATGGACCATTAGACTTCTTTGATGGCCCATCAGGCTTCCTGATGGACCATCAAGAAGGTCTGATGGACCATCAAGAAAGTCTGATGGACCATCAGCCCATTCTTGACGCACCATCCGACTGTCCTCATGGACCATCAGATGCGTTGAGATGGTCCGTCAGAAGTTCCTGACGGCGCCTAATGGTCTGTTGGACACTCTTGATGGGCTGTCAGAGGTGGTCTAATGGTCGTCAGAAGTTTTATGTTTCACTTCGGTTCCATCAAAAGCGCCTTATTTCCCGGCCGTCGGGACTTTTTTTGCGCACAATGTTTATCAAAAGTGCATGATTAATTGTTGCTCGCGGTATTCTGACGGCGCCGTCAGAGGCGTTTAATAACAATTGATATATGGGTCGCGACATATTTGCCAGCATGTGATGAGTCGCTGGGTCGCGAGGTGCTGACACAACTATGTCACGCGATTTGTCTTTACTCACTGAGTCCCCGATTCACCGGCAACTGTGCGTTCGTCTGCAATCACGCACCGTGGAAACCCGTACTCACGGTAGGGTTCATCGTTTCGCATATGCTTCATCTACGCCTTTCATTCCCAACGGAAGGTGGACAGACTTTTCGTCGACACATTAATTTTTATAGACACGGCACCCCCCGAGCCCCGCAACCGTTGTGCGCATTGGATGGACGGTCGCTGAATGAGCGGCCCAAAGTCGAGGAGGCTCCGCAACTTTGCACGTTACAAAATAGGCAATTTGAGGCTATGTCGCGATAAAAAAAGCTGTCGTTGAATGTCGCGTATGATATATGATGGGCCGCAGCCGCGTGGTCAATGGGTTGATGTGATTTTTTTTATTAAAAAAAAGCCTTACATATCTCGTCGTTCAGATGACCTTAAAAGTTCTTGAGCGGAAACACGTCGAGTCACGAAAGGTGCTAAAACCGGCGACACGAAAGGTAGAAAAACCCGTATTATTCAGTATTCAGCTGTACTAGAACCCTTTTGGATCAGGGCGGTCGTTAACGAAGGAGCTTTGCAGGGGTTTTAGATGGAATTAAAGTTTTCAACACCACCACCGCCACCATCATAAATATAATAAAAATAATAAAATAAAACAAACACACTCTTCTCCTGGGGGGAGTGGAACCCGCGACCTCTCGTTCCGTAGGCCGACGCGCTACCGCTGCGCCACGGCCGGAGGGCTGTCGAGGGTCGCGTAAATTATGAGTTAGTCTTTAATGTATCGGCTACTGCCGACGCATTGCCTACTTGCGGCGCCAGTTTCTTTACACGCAGTGTTGATACTTTACAGATTTCTCTCAAAAATGTTCGCATTCAAGTTCATACGCAGTGTTCGACACTCGACGATCCGTTAATTTTATTGTATTCTTTATATTTTGAAAAAACGTTCGCCGCTTATATCCGTTCGAGCAACTGCGTCTTCAAAAGCTTCGAATCCAAATCCAAATCAAGTTGTTTCGTGCGCTTTGTTGCCTCGGCAGCCTCACCCTTCCTCGTGGAGTGTTTTCGAGGTTTTAGATATTTCGGTAGGTTTCACTCGATTTTGCGAGGACGGAGAAATAAGCGACGTCCACAGGGCTTTATTTAAAAACTGCAATCCTTCGAATGTGGTCGACTTCGAGCGTAGGACGGCGTGCAAGGTTTCTTGGAACGGCGACGCGAACACTCGAGGAGGCTATTACGACGCCGAGATCCTCGAACTGACGGGTGAGTGTGTATTTTTTAGCATCCCAAAGTGCGACGTAGCCACAAGCAATCCCCGTTTTCTTCCTTTTTTATTGCGACGGTAATTAGAAGTGAATATTGTAGACTGCTTATATGGGGCACCAAGTTAGGCAGATGAATGCATGGGCTAATACTTCAGTTGAACGTGTGGACTGAACTGCCTTGCACGTGACATCATATGGCACCCTACAAGCCGCCATTGCTCCTGTGCCTTAAGTCCGCGCTAATTTACTCGTACTCCACCGTTCCGAGTTTCACACTCCGAGCGCAGCAACTAAACGAAGCATAGCGTACAGTAGCGCAACACACCGAAGCTGTCGGCGAGCTGTATGAGCCACTTCCGACCACAGTTTTATGACGAACCCAGCATCTCGCGGATGCCAAAATTATTTTGAAGATAAATTAATTAAGGGCTCTGTAAAACGGTAAAGTAAAAGCCAAAAAAAATAGAAAAGAAATGCGCGGCGACGTTAGGAAATTTTTACGAATGTTTTAATATTTGTGAAAGGTTTGAAGACTCGCTTCGACCAGACATGCTGAATGTTACTTTGACCGATCTATTTATTGACCATGCATGCTGTTTAGATTCAAATGAAAGACAACATTCTTGAACTCGCCTGTCAAAACAAGAAACTCTCAAACTTGTCAGATATCTTGGGTTTCCGTCTTCCAGCGCGAGACGGAACCTGTCGATGTGCTACTCCAATACTGGCACACAACCGTTCAATAAATAGCACATTAATTAGTTTTCAGGCGAGATGCACGGACAAACGTTTTCCGCAACGTTTTCGCTTTCCAATCAAAGTATCTTTATTCGCAGGGCTGTGCATTCTACAAAGGGCAACGATCGGACTGTCCTCTCATCCCGACAACTTTTCTGTCGCTGTACAATCATAACGCTACTGTTCGATGGGTATTTCGTTTTCAGGTGAGATTCGGGAACAAACCTTTTCCGTAATGGTCCTGGCTTTGAAATCAAATCATTTTACTCGCTGGGTTAAGCATTCTTCAACTGAAATGAGGCAGCGATCCACTGCACCTCTCGTCTCGGCCACGTTTCTGTCAGCGCGAAGAAACGACTTGCACGTCGAGAAATACTCGGTGCAAAAAGAGCACGCTTGAGTGTTAGTCCTTTGGTGGCGCTTCTGTCCATTTAATGAACAGAGCGCCAAACTCTTGCGCTCCACAGCACAAACTTAGGCGCACAATCGTGGCTGATTCAATGTAAATTAATGCGAGTCATATAATACATTGCTTCCTGACCAATTTATTTATTCATGATCACAAATGTACATTCGGGGACAGAAGTCCCCAGGACGTGCTGGCTGCGGCTGAAACCCATTGCTCTGCCACCTGCCGGCGGGTCGCCTGATTTCGAGATCACACAAAAGCGCATGCGCGTCCTACTCTGCCTGCAAACATGTGCGTTTCCTGCTCTTCTGCGGCACAGCACCTAACTAGGAATCGGGCACATAGTACCGCCTCGGAGATAGCGCTGGCGGCTGACGAGCGTCTGCTATACATTCCGAAACTCGAGATACCACCTGGGGCATTGCGCCGCATTTCGCCGTGTCAGCGCACCTTGCTTTATAACCAGTTCAGCTTATCGCTTAATTGAGCTGCTGTGACTTCTTGCTTTATAGGTGCCATGCCAGTAAGCACTATCTCCGAAGTGGTACCACGCGCCCGATTCCGAGTTAGGAGCCGCGCCGCAGCAGAGCGGGAAAGCGCACACGTTGGCAGGTACAATAGGACGCACGTGCGCCCTTCTGTGATCTCGAAACCAGGCGACCCGCCGGCAGATGGAAGAGGAATGCGTTTCAGTCGCAGCTTGCGTGTCCTGGAGACTTTTGTCCCCGACAGTACCTACTAGAAACCCAAGAGGAAATGGCAACTGAACTGGCCAGGCGCAAACAGGCAGCTGAATCATCTGCAAGTTCACACAAAGCTGCTCCTCCCAGGAACGTCAGCCCTTGTGCCCTCTAGCGCAAAGCAGATTTTGTGGAAATTTTGTCACCAGAATATCATTACCTGTCTATGTAATGTGGTACAGCCTATTTTTCTGGGAGTGTCCAAAAGCTAAATCTTAGCGCTAATTAAATTTTTAGATGCGGTTTATGTCAGGACAAAAGCTGAAAGTGACGATGTTGCAAGGCTCTCAAAAGCAGCGCCAGCCACGTATGGCTAGCAGCGACCGAAACGGGCACACAACTGACCAATCCAACTGATGCAGAAAGAGAGCTGGTCGTGCACAAAATGTGAGTGTGGAAAGTAGCTTGGGAATCCCAACACTGCGTAATGTCATGTCGAGTCTTTAACATTTATACTTCCTTGGGATTGCTCTGTTTCACCACTCAGTCAAGGCTTTGCAGTTTACCAAGCTTTTTTTTATTTCACAAAGGCCAGTAAAGCAGTCGGGAGTGACAAGGAAGACAAAGAATCAACTAAATCACACAAAAAAAGAAGAATTGCACAGGGATCCAGTTTGATGCCGGCAACAATGTGTTGTCATGATTTCTATATGAGGAATGCCATGCTTTCTGCCTACACCCCAATGTGCGTGAGTAATGCTGCAAGGGGGCACACCGGCAGAGCTGCTAGAAACACCTTTCTCTGACTTACCCTGCTCTACCAGTTGCAGGACTACCTGCGGCTCGGCTGTTGACGCGGGAGGTGCTGTAGGGCCCTACTGCCTAACACGTAAGTCATTTATGGCCTGACCTCTGGGTACTCGTATGTTTACCGTACTAACAGAACCCATGCTTTAGCATTAAAAAGCTAACTTTTTAATGAACCTGCAGTATATGAAAAAAGTTTGCTCTGTGGTGATAGAGCCGAACATGTCATATGCAACACATCGCTTATATCTTGCATAGAGGATATTCATTCATAAAGGGTGGAAACAATAATGCTGAGAAAGAAGGCATAAACGGCAAAGAGCTCTCTACTCTACTGTTGTGGTTGCGCTCTGTTGCTGAGCAGAATGACCAAGGAATGTCCTTCCTACGTCATGACTACGAAGCAAGTTCCTCAACGTTGCTAGATTACCTCCCAAAGAGGCTCCACATGCATCCACCAGGTGCACATTGAAAGATTGTTTGATTAGCTTTAAAATTGGTTTGCTTGTGCCCTTCAGCAAAGGACTGGTCTTTTTGAGGTTATGTTGCAACATGCAACTCATTAAAGCGATAAAATGAGCGCTGGATTTGGTTTCTGTACCTCTTTAATATGAAATTGTTTTTTCCAGTTGCTGACGAGGACATCCTTGCAAAGAATGAGATCGTGGATCCTAGCATCGGCCTCCAGAAAAGGAAGGAATGGTAAAATAAAAAAACTTTTCACTTTCATTCAGTGTATAATATACATTAAAAGAGTTTAGGATAGTGCAGGGGTGGCCAGAGTGACATGGAGTTAGAGCCGCAGACAGAACTACGAACGTTTAGAGTCGCTGGAAAAAAGAAAGGGGGGGGGGCTACTTTTAACAAGAAAAAATATGGAGGGAACAGTTATTTCCATAGAGGACAAGTATAATGGGTGATAACAACAAATGACACTGCATCAGAAGGTCCTTTCCACTGCTAGGCAAAAATTAATACACGATTCACTAGCCAGTCACTGCCCCTGACAACTGTTATGCGTATACGGTTGAAAGTCTTTCTAGAACAATAAAGGAAACACGGTCACTCGACGCATCTATGTGGCAAAAAGCATTCCAGGTGTATATATGTAGTGTGTTGCCAGGCTGCCAAGACTTGTAGCTCTTTCTAAATTCTAGAACAGTTTTCGTCTAGGGGACACGTTTTCCAGGGTGCCGCGAGCTGCACTTCGACCCGCAAAGAGCCGCGTGCGGCTTGCGAGCCTCAGTTTGGCCACTCCTGAGATAATGTAAGCACAGTAGATTGAATCGATTCCAACAAGAAGTCATTAAAACATTATTGTAGCCAGGCTCTTAATTGTAGTTACAGCCAGGGCCTGGAAAACATTCTATTGTCATGCTCACCTGTTGCAACTAAGGGATTACGTAGCTGTTTCATGCAAATGCCATGAAGCTTTGTAGGCCCATCAGCTTCGCAGACGCCCATGAAGATAGGAATTCATGTGTAGTGCTGTCTTAAATTTAAAGGCCTAAATTTTTATTAATGTAATTATTTTAGTGCATTTTCAATGCATCTTGGAGTATAGAGTACCACTCTACGTCAACAACTGGTATATGTGAAGCTGTTTCTCGCTTTTGTTTATAACAGATCCATGTCGGGCAAGGTGTGCACGTCAACCAGGAATGCGGGCAACATGCGGAAAGCAGAGTGCGACTCCATGTTTTGCAAGATCACTGCTGCTTCCATAGAATGAGTGGAAGTGCTTTTGGAGAGGTCGGTGACCGGCACCCTCTCCAACAAGGCAAAGGCAGCGAGGCAAGAGAAGGCGTTTGCCCCACTCACTCAGCGCAAGGTGCAGGCTCTCTCATTAAGCAAACATTTTTAAAATCTTGATATGAATCTCGCGGAGTCGCGTAAAATATTTCATGCTAAATTCGTATCAACGAAAGCGAAACAAAATTTATATTTTGAAACACAAGGAATGCATGAATGTGCATTTATTTATGGCAGAAAATATCTTGTATGCAATTTACACGATTCTAACACGCCCCCGATAGTAACACACGGTTATAATCAACCCACGAATGTTGAAAAAAATGAATTAATGTCGATTCTACTGCGCAGATAAATGTCGATTCTACTTCGCAGATAAATTAATGACGGCTGAACAACATACACTTTGTGGAAAACATTTTATCAAATGCACATACTCGGAAAGTGCCCACACTATGTGGTGTTGAAGCCCTACATCAAAAACTTGCAAGCAAAAATTCGGTTTCTTTGTCTTTCCAACCAAGCTCGCATGTCACCGTGGACCACACCGAAGACACCACCAACATCACTCGGTTTTCTGTTTTTGCCAACGCAGTTACTTTGTTTTTTAGAGGGAACCTTATAGTAAAATCGGTTTTGCTTTTCCAAGGCTGAAACACCCTTCCACGAGATCGCAAAATCAAAAAAGCGATTTTGGATTCAGATTGGATTGGATTTGAAACATGTGTTGATGGTGATGGGGCTGGCCACTTTGCACAGTTTTTTTTAGCATTTTGTTTAGTTTTGGTTTTTGGGTCCGATTGTAACATGCATGTAATTTTGAGCTCCAGTTTTTGGGTAAAGTGCGCCTGATCCCTGGCAGCAGCAGGCAATCAGCCGCACGAAGCCTTGAAAGCTTACAGTCGCCGATCGTGGCCTCCTTGCCACTATCAGTTGTGGAGCACGCATTCGTATCAGCCGTCGCAGCGCGTAGAGGAATTCGGAACACCCAAAAATTTTCACGTCGTATACAATGCACTTCGGCCGGGGAATTCGTTAATTTGTTTTATTCCGAAATTCGTACCAGTTAGTATCACCGAGATTTTACTCTAGTAGGTTGTCTGCTAACACCTGGACGTGTGATGGGGGTACCCCGCCAAGAATGAGTCAATCAAAACAGATAATAACCGTAAATTATCGCACATTTGTATTTTGAACAGATAATTTTATTTTTCGTTCTAAGCAACAAACTCGAGCAAGTGCTCGAAGAGAGGTCAACGGAGAGCTCGATGCGTCGTGGGCTATCCGGCAAAGCTGGCGTGGCTACGAGCTGTGCCGTTCGGGTGCATAGTGGTGGTGTAGACGTGTTACAGCCTAGCCATTTGAAACACCTGTGGGCTTTACGTGGACCAAAGCGGACTAAGCCGTCTAAGCGCCTATGTGTGAGATAAGTAATGTCAAGGTCATCGCGTTCAGAGCGAGATTACTCCAACAGTTGAGTATACCTCCAAACAGCGGCGCTGCTCCGATGTGTAGTGCAGCTACATAGCGGTTTTCGCCATGTCACGACTACGTCCATGATCCCCAACATTGCTAGATTACCTCCCAACGAAGCTTCAGAGGCCTCCACCAGGTGCACATTGAAAGACTGTTTAATTACCTTTAAATTTAGAGCCAGGCCATGAATGGAAGATCTTTCAAGGAATGTGGAAGATTGTTTTTATATATAACTGCATTGTTCTTTCTGGTGCACATGATGCTATTTTTTAATTCTGTGGCGTGTCTAAGCTGTTACCACAGCGAGGGATGATAACCAAGTATAAGCAGTTTCCAACGTACATTGTCTACTTATCTACAGTTGTAGCTCCTATTTCTTACAAAGTCACTAGCCTAGCAGTGAGGTTTATAGACATGGGCTACCTGTTTTGTGCTTAAAAGAATCTAACAGAAGCCATTGTGAGCTGTCTATTGGGAGTGGAACATAAATCAGGATACTGCGGTACTTTTGTTTTCATGGTAATCTCTGAACACTGTAAATACTAAGAAACGTTGAAGGTTTGTTAGGTGCCAGCTGCCACTTAATTGCTTTTATTTGAGACTAATTTACCCTTGGTCTTCTCAAACTATGACCCTCCAGCCTGTATTTATGACGTTCTATATTGTTTTAAGTCTGAGCACTGCAAAAAAACAATTACCCTGGATTTTCATATCCTAGGCTGCTTTTGACTACACCTGAGGGAGAAAGGTACCGCCAGGCTGAAAGGGCAGCCCGGCACCAGAAGATACGGCGGTACCTGTCAGAAAAGCTGTCCAATCTCAAGAGAAATCACTACAAAGGTATGTGCATCTATACTCTAACTTCCTTAATTAAGTAATATACTATTTTGGGTCTCAAGTTTACAAGCAATTATTTTAAATGATGTCATAGATAAATTATTTAGAGGTTAATATATCTAAATGTTTATGCAAACAACTTTAAAGTAGTCTGTTGATCAGCTGACCACTTGAAAAAGGCTGTGGGTTGCTTGGTCGCTACTGCCATCCCATCAGGCCGTGCTTGCTCACTCTTCAAAAAGTTGCAAGGTCACACAATTACAATGAAGCACGTCACTCGTACTGCCCCTTAGTCGTCTCTAGGCCCACTCTGCTGTTTACGTATGTCAATGGTCGTCCTGTGTTTCGACTCATTGCTGATTTCTGAATTGCCCTTGATATGTCCAGGCTCATCCCTTTGCTGCCTGTCCTCCCCCGATGCGTGGTCCCACCACGGACTGCCCATGCTGTTGCAGGTCTGCCATCGCTTGCATTCCATGTTGTAGCCTTTTTACCCTTTTCTTCATATTAATTTAGCTTAATTTATATATTGCGAATACTATTGAAATGGAACAAATGTACTATCGCAGCCAATATGAGCTGAAACGCCACTGCACGTGGCACGCGATGACAGTTGTCTCTCAGATTGTTCAGCAAACCTTGGTATGCGCTGAGGTAGAAACAAATCACTTCTTGTGCTCGTTGCACCACTATGCCGTTCTGTGTCAATCTTCAGCTCATAGTGGCACAATGAGTGCAAGAAGCAACCTGCCTAAACCTCAGCAAACACAGAGGTTCACTGAAAATCCGACAGGTGGCTCTGATAGTACCACACGCCATGCGTCATGGCGCTTCAACTAATATTGGTCACAATAGTACTTCCTCAAATGTTTCTGGTTTTTCTGTACCACCTTGCCATTCCGCCCAGCGAAACAATGTATGATTTCATAACTTCATAATAAAAATATCAGAGCAATGCAGCTTGTTTGACTTTATTCTTATTAGTAGCTGCATTTGCCGTGCTCAAATGTCGGGCTGGCGATTACCAGTGTGCAGTGGACAATATAATTAAATTATAAGTGGGATATGCACCTCGTCATGCTCCAGGTACGGCATAATTAAGTTTCCAGATTATGCATTAACATATTGTGTTTTTTAAGTTGTGGCCAACTCGAACTGTTTCAAATAAGCCATGAAACCACCGTAATCAAACCGTAAAAAATAGGCGTCTCAAAATGCGACAGGTCATTCGACCATCAGACCAAACCAACAGACCATCAAACCATCAGACCATCAAACCAGCAGGCCAACAGACCATCAAACCATCAGGCCAACAGACCATCAAACCATCAGGCCAGCAGACCATCAAACCATCAGGCCAACAGACCATCAAACCATCAGCCGTCCCAAAATATGACTCCATCAGACTATCAGACCATCAGGATTTTCCTGATGGTCTTTTTGATAGGGTCTGAATTAAATTTCGTATAACATTTTAAACTGCATTTTTTGTGTATGCTTCAAAGTCCTTTTGGCGTCCAAAGGGTTGATGGGCTGGGGGTGGATAAACTGAAGGGTCACACGGGCTGAAGGGTATGACGGCGAAAGGGTTTGACGGGCTAAAGGGTTGAACAGGCTAAAGGCTTTGACGGGCTAAAGGGTTTGACGGGGTGACGGGGTGACGGGGTGACGGGGTTTGATGGGCTGCAGGGGTTTGAAGCGCTGAGAGAGTCTAAAGGGTGAATTTTCAATGGGTATAACTACGAAAAATTGTCATATCCTTGACGCTTTATAAGTAGGGATTTGTATATACCACTCTATCTTTAACAAAACCCGCAAGTGGGATCGTTGGTATATCGTTACCATGTAAAAGTGCCAAAAAGCATTTTGGAACACTTAATTTTATTTGGAAAACACGAACTTATATTTACAAATTTGATCATGCATCGTTCAACACGAATCTGCATTCTTTACCTGATAAAACCAGCGACGAGGTATTTATGCACCCATGATCCCCCTTTACAGTGATTTTAAACGTCTAAAAATTTCCCTTCAAGTTTTGGTTTTATTATGCCCAAAATATGTTTTCATTACAGGTTCACACAGACATGTACACACTGGACGGCAACGTTCCCCGAAGGATGCCTTATTACAGTAAATTCATGCCCACTCACCTTTTCATTATTGCATCTACCAGTCTGCCCTATGTGCATATTACCCTGCATTCGGAGATTGTCCCACAATCTCAAATATATTGATGGCCACTTCGGCATTCCCCTGGTATTCACTGCACCATTGGAACTATCTAGTGCATGCCCAAGAGTCAGCAGGAATACGTGCAAGGAAAGCATGTGCACAAAACAATACACGCACATATATAGGATGCACCACCTCGATAGTCTACGAAATAACGAAATACCGTGGGCGATCGTACTTGAGTAAACAGCTTGAGGTATTAATGAAAGGGGCGCAAGTGTATCAACTTTCTCTAAAACGGTCTCCTTCGGGGAACTGGCCATCCACTGTGTATATGACCCTGCGGTCCTTTAGTAGATAAAACACGGCGTTTGGGCAAATTAAACGCCAAAACAGAAAGAGCAATTTTTGAGGCTTTTAAAATCCGGGTATAGGAAGATGACGGGTACATCATTGCGTAGTCACTCGTTTTATCAAATAATAAGATCGTATTCATTTCGGGTGAGGTATAATCATGTGTGTATATTGTATGTTTTTTTTTTTTTAAATAGCATTAAGTTTTAACTTTTTTAGTATCGCTCGTCGTGTTCATTCTTACCTTATTGTCTTTGTTTTATTGCCCTTTCAAGTAGTTACTCTGTTTATTATGATGTTAGCACATTTGCCATACCCACGGTTACGAAGAGAATAGGTACTTTTTCCAATTAGTGATTGTGTGAGGGTGATCTGAATTAGTTAAAGTTAATTAGTAGATAATGTAATAATTAAGATAGCTTGGTCTTAAATGCGGTGCTTGAAGTAATGTATGGTCTCATTCTGGAACATTTTATTTGGACTGACTTGTGAAAACCTACTGTAAGCCTAATGATTGTTTGAGTTTCCGTAATTTTGGAGACGCTTGATTATAAAGACGTTTTCAGGGACCTGACACTCACTCTATACACACCGACTCGAGTTCGCAAACAACTTGTTCTCTAGTGGAGCTGCAGATGCGTGATTAGGTTTGGGCTAGAACTGTAGTGTCCCCATCAACTAATCATTGGAATGTGATGTTGTCTGGGTTGGTATGAGTCTCTGTGATCGTTTCTGCTTTGAAATTTGTAATTGTCAGTCTTCCTCACAATCAATAACCATTTTAATGGCCTCAGAAAAATGTACAAGACACAATCCTCTACAACCCTCACGTGAATGGCGGCTCATACGCGGTGGAGGCCGCAGAAGAAATGCTAAAACCTGGTCATACGATGCAATTCCGCTCATATCTAGTAACAACATCGCTCAGGCTGCAAAAGAAGCTTGACAGTTCTTCGGCGTTCATGTTGGCCGCCTACAAATAACTCTTATAAGTGTTTATGACATCAACTATAGCGAAGTGCTTTCCCCTGCTCAGTGGATCATATTTTGACGGTGCCACTCCACATTCTTGAACGGACTGAGTAGACAGAAAACACGTGAAACTTTTACTTTACTTTTTTTCCTGGTGATTCTGGTGCATCTCAACTCTTCACAAGTCTACGGAAGTTTATGAGACTGCAGGTTGTTAAGGTTTTCTCTCAAGACAGCGTAGCGATGCCTGGCCTGCCTAGCCACGCTCCAGACGAAAGATGCACCCAAAGAGCCAGCGCTGTGACGCGTAGTGAAATAGTTGAAAGAAATTTCAAAGAACATGTATTCGAGCTAGTGAACTTTCACGAAGACAAAAAGTAGACGATACAAACATATGTGTAACACGCACTTATGACGCCTATTTCCACTTCATTCTTTATAAGAACAACCCACAGCCGAGCTTTAGACACATGAGGTCAGTCATCATCACAACAGCCAAACACAATGCCCACACTCAATTACAACATTTCCCTGTTCACACAGTTGAAAGGCACAGAACCAGCAGACTGTTCAGCCTAATTCACACCCCACCGTTGTCCCTCCCCTGTCAAGCCGCAAGGCCAGCCAGCCGAGATCTGGAAATCCTCACACCTTGAAACTTTGACAAATCTCGTGCATCTCAATGTTGACTGTGGGTCGTCCTTGTAAACAACAAAGCAGAAATAAGCGTCGTAGAGGAGGTTGAGACACCTGTGTGCGCTGTCTCCATTTTTCCCCCCTCGGTCTCACAGTCTATAAATGCTGAAGGTACTTGAGTTGGTGAATAGGATTACAGAGACCAAAAAGGAAAATTCGGCTTGAAGTTTTGTGACATGTTTCTTAAGAACAAAACACTAGCACACGAGGGTGCGGAGTCACAAAATATATTCTCTGTGAACTCTTGAAAATAAAGGCATTTTATTTTCTTCTTTCCTTCTTGAAACTTGCACGATTTCCCTTGTTGTTACCCGCCTCGGAAAATGGTACAACGCACTCGTTCAAAGACACGTAAATGTTTGGCTACACACTTTTGAAAAAAACGGAGACGACGAACGAAGAAAGGGACAAACACAAAACATATCAAACGCAGCTATTAAACTTTATTGACACAACCATTTATATATCACAACTCATACGTACGTCTCTCGGAATTCGAACACGGCTTTGTCACCTTCCACCGCGGTGCAACTCGTCATAACATCAATTGAAATGAACGACCTCAGCTCGCACATGGCACAGCAGGCACGTCTCCCGGAATACGCACACGTATTTGTTAATTTCAAATCCGGTACAGACCTCGTCTCGTAAACAAGAATGACGAAGAAAAGAATTCAAATTAAAGCATCCTCATCAAGAGACCTAACCTAGCGCACCTCGTGCTTTCATTCACAGGCCCCACACTGCCGCATGATAAGGCAAGCAACACCCCATCAAAAAAGAAAAAAGAATTACAGCAGAAAAAGTTGGGGTTCCAATCCACGCTTGGAAGGTGGTTGGTCAGCGAAGCTGTGGTATCATCCGCAACGGTTGCCTACTGCACTATACGAAATGCCGCCGCCGGTCGCAGCTCTCCGCCGCTGGTCGTACTGCCGTTTCTTTTCCCTTTGCCGCTCCTAGTATTCACGCTGCTCCTCGGGAGTCCTAGCCATGCGTGGCCTACCCATAGCGTAGCTGCAGCAGCAGTGAAATCAGTTGCTCTACGTTTCATCTTACGTTTCAGCGCAGCGGATGTTACGAGCCATCGGAGCCAATTGGAGGCCGTGTGAGTGTCACGTGACCTGAGAGAGGGGGCACATCGACGCGCGGAAAGCGCATCACGGACTACGTCCACAGAACAGAAAGGAGAAAGTTCAGGGCCCGAGTGCACCGCTACCCACGGAGCCCAACAAGGGAGTACGTACTGTGCCATAACAACGAAGGCTTGGCTGACACAAGTATTCTGCAGGGGCAGCACCTGTTTACACCCAAGGTTGGCCCT